CACTTCACCTGAACTCATCTGAACCTAATTTATTAGACCTGATTACCCTGATTTTCTATGTTATATGTAAACTTTATTGAACATGATCAACCCCAATTAAACTTGATTAACCATGAAACTTATTTTTTTTAAAAGGTAAATCGAACACACAATTAAACATATATGAAGTATGAATTATGGTTAAGATTTTAATGTATAACTTGAAGCCACAAGATCAACACTTTTTAATACGAGGTATATCAATCTATGTTAATCTTTAAAGGGAATTCCCTTTTTTGGTTGGGACTTTTCCCTTTCCAAAAATACCCTTTATTAAAAAAATAAAAAAAAATAAATAAAAAAACCTACAAACAATATCATTCCTCAATCCCCACTACGTTCCTCTTTTAACATTAAAAAAATAGAAAAGTAAAAAAATTAAAAAGGGTTTTCATAGTTAAATAAAAAGTTAATCTATGTTACACTTTAAAGTGAACACTCTTTTTTGGTTGGGAATTTTCCCTTTCCAAAAATACCCTTTATCCAAAATCTTATTTCCTAGAAAGTAATACAGTTAAGGAAGTATTTAAGGGTAATTTGATTAATGAAATCATTTTTTTAAAAAATTGTCATCATAAAAATAAGCTTTTATTATTATTTTTTTATATTTTATTTATTTTTTTTTTTTTTTACTTTAGAGCAACTACAATGGTTAGCTAATTATTTTAATAGCTTGTCATGCCACATCATCTTCTCAAGCTACAATAATTCTAGCTATTTGTTGCTCTAATGGTTAAACTAGTTGTAAATAAATTTATTTTTAAATTAAGAAGAGCAACTACAATGGTTGGCTAATTCTTTTAATAGCTTGTCATGCCACATCATCTTCTTAAGTTATAACAATTCTAGCTATTTGTTGCTCCAATGGTAAAGCTAGTAGTTGTAAATTAATTTATTTTTAATTTAATAATAACTTTTATCTAATAAATATTTACCAAGCTAATTAGCTCTAAAAAGTTGATTTGCTTGACAAAGCTAATCAACAAGATATGCAACAATGGTATAGCTATTAGCTTAAGATTTTTTATATTTGCAAGCTAGTCCCTTTTCCCAATCATTGGAGTTGCTCTAATACTTTTTATCTAATTATTTACAAGAAGATTTCAGAAGAATCTAAAGTAAGTGCAAGGTATTTACTTACATTTTGGATTCAATACGCAAGAGAAGTTTTGCTTGAAAATTATGATTTCGTACGTTGTATTGATGATTGCTCCCAAGTACCACCCTTTTTCTCTGAAGTGCCATTGTAAGTCTTTATTATGTAATTTCTTGGTTTTGATTGAATTTTAATAGGGAGTAATTTTTAGGAAAAATTCATGGGAATAATCCCACCTTTCACCCGTTCGTTTTTAATAATCCCACCTTTCGATTATTATTTAATAATCCGACCTTTGGGGGTCTTTAATTTTTATTGGTCCCATTTGACCAGAAACCGGTTGAAGAGTTAATTTTTTTTTTTGGTTTAAAATACACGTGTCATTACATAATTGGTCAAAAAAAATAATTATAAAACCCAAATAATTCAGCCATTATCCCCACCACCCCCACCACCAACCAGCCACCTACTCCCTTTTCCCCTCCCCTAGCAGCAACCCCCACCACCGACAGCAACCAAGTCCCCCATGGATTCCGGCAGCCTCAATTCCCCTTTTCCGGCCAACTAGTCCCCCTTCCCTCTCTTTCCGGCCAATACGTGTATTTTAAACCAAAAAAAAAAAACAGCCACCCAACCCAAGACCCCAGCCACCTGCCGGCCTGCCCCCACCCTCGCCACCCTGCTCCCCACCTCGGCCACACCCCTGAAATCGCGCTGTCTCCGGCGACCCCTTACCTCGACCCCTAAAAACAAAACCCAGCACCACGCATCTTAAACACCGCCCACAACACCTACACCACCGCTCACAGCCACGAAAAACCGCCACACTACCCAAAATTAACACAAACAGTTGTCTCAAAAATAACAAAAAGTAAAATCAAATCTAAGTACTAACATGAACAACAAAAATCATGAACTTAAAGAATGTCTAAAATCAGATCTAAGTAATAGTACTAAAAACATCAAAAAAATTCACAAATTCGCAATCATACAAATATACAATTATCTAAAAATATATATAACCTTAAATTACAATTATATCAACAAATTAATTGTAATTAGAAATTTGAATTAAAAGCGATAACAAAAACGTGTTTTGTCTTGCGACGGCGGTGGGTTCCATGATGGCTCGTTGTTCGACGCTTGATAATTCATGGCTCGATGGTGGCTGTTTTGTTACTCTAGTTGACGTGAGAAGGATCGGCGTTGCGTGAGAAGCTTGTGGCCTGAAAAGCTTGCAAGGTGGTGGATGATGGGCGTGAGAAGCTGTTTTGACAGTGAATTGTTGAATGTTGATGAAAGAAAGAATGGGCGGAAATCACCGCCGGAGGCAGGGGGTAGGCTGGGCGTGGGTACAGTGGCAGTGCGGTGGGGGCGAATGGTGTTTTTATTTTATTTTTTTAAGTTTTTTTTTTCAATTTTTTTAAGTTTTTTTTCAATTTTTTAAAGTTTTTTTTTTTAATTTTTTTTTTACCAATCACAGGCCGTCACGTGTCAGGTAACCTGTTATAACAGGTTACATGACCGGTTGGGACCAATAAAAATTAAAGACCCCCAAAGGTCGGATTATTAAATAATAATCGAAAGGTGGGATTATTAAAACGAACTGGTGAAAGGTGGGATTATTCCCATGAATTTTTCCTAATTTTTAAAAGTTATTTTTATTGAATTATATTTGGTATTGTTGTCATTAGTTTACACTTTAGCAAATTTCATTAGAAGTCTTTTGAAGTTATTTTACGATTGTGAATAAACTGTGAGTTGCTCCCTCCTTTTGTATCATGTAATCATGTTATATACTTTGACAATTAATATTAATCAAACTTTTGTGCAAAGACTTCAAGTATATCTTTAGTTATAGAGATAAGGGAGTGTAATAAATGACAATTTGGGACATAGAGAAGGGATAACCAATTTCAATGTCATAGTGTTTTTATAATCAATAGAGTACTTCATATTACATGATAATAATATTTTTTTTATAATTAATATAGTACTCCATTTTACTAAATGTCTTTATTTTACCGTCATAAATATTTTAAATGATGTAATATACAAAGAGTAAAATTTATTTCTTACAACATGTAGCCAATTTTATAAGAAAAAAATATGTCAAGTTTAGAGGAGCAAATTAAGGTAATCGAAACCTTGTATGTATTATCCAAACTACATACTTGTAGTAGTTTTCAGGGGTGTCCTTTATTATTGGTTATGATTTAGGCCAGATCTAATATAATTCAATTCAAAATAAATTAGGTTTTCAATTTTTCAATGTAATTCGATCCGAATTTCTCACTAAATCTAATTTTTTCCAATTTGAACTAAAAATATGTTGTAAAATTTTAGAGACTAATGCGTTTATTAAAAAAAATGTTCCAAAACTAGTTTTGCATGATTTATACAAATTTTAAAACATAGTTTTACCTGATTAATATAAACACTCTATAATTATAAATACACGATTTATTATTTTTGATTTTTGGTTCCAATCAATGTCAATCCAATCCGAAAATTCAAAATTTTAAAAAATTTAATCCATTCCAGTTCAATTAAAATTTAGTAGGTATGGTTTTAAAAAAAAAATCAAAAAATAAAAAATCCTTTAAATTTATTTATTTATTTATTTATACAAAACCACCCAAAAAAAACATGAACCCTCACAATACTTGGCGGGAAATAAAACAAGCTTCTAGAGGAAGAAACCAACACACCCCCATTTACAACTTCACTTCAAAATCCCCCAACATTCCTGAGCCGTTTTCCGGTCATTCTTCCAAAACCGCCTTTCTCTCTTCTTCACTCCCCCATTTTCTCTCTCCTCACTTCCCAAATGCCGTTTCTCAGGTCCCGAGATATTCCCCCATTTCCAAACCCTCAATCTTCTCCCAAAACCCTAGAAATTAATGGGTTTATTGAACCAACTACTCCTTCCAAAACCATTCAATCATTAGCAAATTCAACCAATTCTACCCCTAATTCTCTCGATTTTGAGTCCAATTTCACTTCTATGTCGGCCCCACCTATTCGTCGAAGTAATCGTCTCGCTTCGAAGCCGAAATCCGACGATAATTCCCGGGGTTTGGCTTCTGATTACACCTCTAAGCGTCGGAGAAAGGGGAGTGTTGGTAAGACGATGCAATTTCATTTGGAGGGTGATGAAGTTAAAGATGTGAATTGTTTTGATGGTTTAGGGTTGGGTTCAGTTGATGAGAATAGTGTTAGGGTTTCTGATTCTGATTCGATTGTGGAAGAGTGTCTGAAGAAGTTGAAGAGGGAGGATTTTGATTGTTCGGAGGAAGAAAATGGGTGGTTGAGTTTAAGGTCAGGGACGAAAGTAGCGAAGAATTTGGGGGATGAGCGCGAAATCGATTCCAGAAAAGAGGGAATGGAAAATGATGTTTTGATTGAAAAAGGTGGTGGTTTTGAGGATGAGGCAATGATGGAGGAAAATGGGTGTTTGAGTTTAAGGTCAGGGACGAAAGTAGTGAAGAATTTGTCGAATGAGCGCGAAAACGATACCGTTAAGGAGGGAATGGAAAATGATATTTTGATTGAAGAAGAGGGTGATTGTGAGAATGAGGGGAAGATGGAGGGAAATTTGCCTGTTGGTTTCATGTCAGCGATGGAAAAGTTGAAGAATTTATTGGAAGAGTGCGATTGCCTTACTGGAAAGGGAAAGGGGAAGGGAAAGGGAAAGGCTGTTTTGAATAAGGAAGATGATGATTTTGAGAATGAGAGATTGAAGAGCTCAAGGAGAAGGTTTAGTAGAGAAGAGAAGGGAAAGGTGTAATTTCAGGAAGGTTTAGTAGAGAGGAGAAGGGGAAAGGTGTAAAGTCCGAAAGCGATTGTGAATTGGATGATGTAGAATTGGATTTAGCTGTTCAACTTTCTATGGCTGGTAGTGAGATGGGTGGTTTGGTGAATAAGATGGATGATGATGGTCATGAGAATGTAGTAATTGAGCAGCGTCCTAAGGATTTGAGGGCTCAACATAAAGATATAGCGAGGCAAAATGCTTCGAGATATGCTTTTTTTGATGCTCGGGAAGAAGAGAATGATGAGGATGATGATGATGATGAAGAAGAAATGGTAGCAGAAGAACCAGTTGGGAATGTTGAAGATTGGCCTGGACCATTTTCAACTGCCATGGAAATTATAAGGGACAGAGAGAAGAACTCGAATCGTCAAGTACGTGATTTGAGTTCTGTTAAAGAAGGGTTTCCATTAGTATCTTGGACTCCTAGGAAAGAAAGTTACCTTGAGTGCAGCAAGCGAGAGGCGCCTGCATTGATAAGTTTGTGCTTGAATGTCCTGGCAGAGAATGTTGATGCAATCACTTCTCTTGACAGTGTCCCAGATGCATTGAGGAACAAGCTTAGTCGATTGTTTTGTGATTCTAGGAAGATGAATCCGCATTTTCTCAGTCTTCTTCTTGATGGGTCTCCTTCAGAGATACGCCTTAGTGATTGTTCGTGGCTAGAAGAGCACGTGTTTGAGAAGTTGTTTGAAGCTTGTGACTTTAAAATCATGACGGTATGATTGCTTTTTCCTTATGCTTTCTTTTTGTTTTTAATGTATTGGTGAAATTGAAGTTGATTTTCTTAGCTTTAGTAGCTTGTATATCCTTAGTTCTTTTCCAAATGTGTGAGATGAGCTTAATTTGGACTTTATCATACATTCATACTGTTAGGTTACTACTTATGTTTGAACTTGTGCCATGGCCATAATATTAGAAGTTAAGCTTTAGCTGTTGGTTATAAGCATACTATTTGGTATCTGCGATTGCATGTTTCCTTTGCCTTCATGGTTTTGGTGAGATATTTCTAGTGTACTATAGCTGCCTGTGTGTATATATTTGGAAAAGTTGCTTTTTTGCTAGACTGCAAGCCCTTCTGTTGTGCAGCTTCATGTCAGGTGTCTAGATAGTAGATAGTGTTGTTTTGAATGATGATATTACGTGTAAACTGGAAAGTACTCATGCTGAAGGAGGAATATATAACAAGTGGTTGGTGACTATTTTCTTATTATTAACTGTAATACATGTACCTGAGGCATGCCACAGTTGACTATGCTAGACTTGATTCTTAAAAGCAATGGCATATTCATCTTTATTATGTGAGAATGTGAGATGTTATTAACTTGACCATTGGGAGTTAAGCAAAAAATCTGGTTTCTGCTTGAAAATGATAAGTAAATTTGTTTTAGTCCTGATATACTCTGCAATGGGAAGACAAGCAGCTCTGCATTTCATTATCACATCTTTTTCCATTAAGCAAGTATTGTAATGCTAATTATTATTTTCTATATAAAATTAGGTTTTACAACTTGATCTGTGCGGACATTGTGTATCTGACTCTTCGTTGCGCAAGGCCTTAGTACCAAAAGGATTGGAAGCACTGACAACTATTTCGTTGAAAGGTGCTTGTCGTATTTCAGATGCTGGGCTTGCTGCACTTGTTTCATCCGCCCCTGCCCTGAGATCTATGAATCTCAGTCAATGCTCTCTTTTGACCGATGTTGGCATTGAAAGTATTGCTAATTCACTGGGGTTGATTTTGCAAGAATTATACCTTGATGATTGTGAGACTTTAGATGCAATGCGTATCCTTCCTAAACTTAGGCAGCTGAAAGCATTGGAAGTTTTGTCACTCAGGGGCGTAGTCAGTGTTTCTGACAAATTTATCAAAAACCTATTTGAGGAAAATGGTCAGAACATGAAGGAGCTTGTTTTGGCCAACTGTGTGTAAGTTTTGTTTTTTTTTTTTACTTGTCTTTCTGTAATTGAATCGATATCTTCAACTTGCTATGCTTTTCTTGTCAAACATATGTGGCAATATTTTCCCTCCATTGTGGTCTTTCAACTAATTAGCATGTCCTGCTCACCACCTTCTTTTCTTTGTGCAGAAATTTGACTGATTCTTCTTTAAAGGTCATTGCCAATACGTGTCCTCAGTTACGTGTCCTCGATCCTAGCTATCTGGGGAAGTTGTCTGATATTGGCATGGCATATATTACAAATGGCTGTCGCAGTATTCAAGATTTGAAACTTTGTCGTTCTCCATTCAGGTAATTTTTGGTGCTTCAGTTATTTAATGCTTGACCCTGTTGCTATCTCATCAATTTTGTTGAGCTTTTAGTGTAATTCTTCAAATAACACTCTTTTGTTCTCAGTTGTACTTCAGTTTAGACTATAAGAATAAATGTAGGAAATTATCTGGAGAGGCTTGGGTTTTTTTTTTTTTTTGGTAGATCTGGGTAGGTGTATCAGGGTCTTGTGGGATTGTTCAGGGTCTTCATGCTTGTGAAGGTTTTTTATTCCATTTTTGCTGGTTGATTTACTTTCAATGTTGGTGCATAAATTATGATTGATATGTGTATTAATTGCTTATTCATGATTTGTTATCTCTCTATCTGTTGTATATGCACACTTGCCTTAGGCACAATCCTAAGAGTAATGGATAGAGTTGAAAATTAGGAGAAAAGTGTGGTGTTGGAGAGAGATAGTTTACTTGCAAAGGCCTCTGCAAATAATATGGACAGCTGTTGAAGGGAAGTGTGGAAGAATGTGGAGGGAGTAAATTTCTCGATTTCCTTTATTTGGTTGGCTTGAACACAATATTCTTAATAGAATCTTAAGAGTCCTCAATTCAACCCCATGGATCCACGATATGATGATCTCTAACAAGCACATTGCCTTTTTTTTTTTTTTTTTTTTTTTGATCTCTGATCATCAACTTTGTTAGCAGTATCTTATAAATTTGTAGAATATTGAAGTCTTTGATTTGTCTTCATTTTGGTTAATCTCAAGGGCAAAATCCCCTGATTACTGCATCTTTTCTGTGACAGTGATGATGCTATTGCTGCATTCCTTGAAACCTCTAGAGAATCTTTGATAGAATTATCTCTTAATAACATATCCAAGGTATCAATCTAACTTGTGGCTGATTCCCATTCTTTCTTTTGCATGTCGTTCTTGAGATATCTGAACGGAGGATCCATGTATAGTTTGGATTCTTAGAATATGTTTGTTTCTACAGGTTGGTCAGAATACCACCATTTCTCTTGCTAGGCGTTGCAAAAATCTCGAGAGCTTGGATCTCTCCTGGTGCCGTCTCCTTACAAACGAGGCACTAGGATTAATTGCAGACAGCTGCTTGTCTCTCAGGTTGCTCAAACTTTTTGGTTGCACACAGGTACATTAATTTTTTGCTCATAACTTGTAACGACCTATTGGGAATTATTTGGCCTGATTTCCTATTACCTTTGGTTACACCATAATATTAACAAAACCAGGTGTGTGTGTACTGGCTTTATACGTGTGTTTGTGTGCTTGAATGTATTAGATTTACACTATGTTTGGATAACAAATTTATTAGGGGAAGGAAATAGGAGGAAGGGAAGGGGAAAGAAAGGGAGAGGGAAAGTGGAGCTTCATTTTCCCTCCAAATCTCTCCAATTTTGAAAGGATTGTATTTATTAAAAGAGGAGGGAAAATGTCCCTCCTCCCTCCCCTTCCTTCCCTCAATCCATTATCCAAACAAACTGATTTGTTCCCCTCCCTTTCTCTTCTCTTCCCTTCCTTTCTCTTCATTTCCTCCTATCCAAACAATGTGTAAGTGAGAATTTTTTAGGCACATGGCTATGGCGTCTAGCATACATATCGGTGAGCAATTATTTTTTGTTACTCTCTCCTCTTGTGAGGTTGGCCACATTTGATTTGGGATCAAAAGAATCGAGCTGAAATATTATAACTATCCTTCTCTGTGAGAGTATTTTGCATGTCCATGCCACAAGTAGTCTTTTGTTCGAATTTTTTGTTAAAGGTATATAGGGAAATCAAAGTTTAACTTCCTCTTTTTTTTTTTTAATTATAAAATTTAACTTCCTAAATTTAGGAAGTTCTTATAATTTGGATGTCTTTAGATACGGAAGTGGCATGTTATTTAGGGACGGAGAGAGAGAGAGAGAGAGAGAGAGAGAGAGAGAGTATGTTTTCAGTGATATCATTCGTTGCTGAGGGTGGCATGTCAATGTTCTCAGGATGTCTTTAGATAAACATGTCAATGCTCTCATGGTGCTCTTTCACATTATTCTTAACCATAATAAGTGTTGGGTAATATCAACTCAGAGGTCTCAGACAAAGTACTCTTAAAAGATCTGGTAAGTCTAGACAAATGAGTTTCAATAAGCTATTAGCTTTCAGGTTAAGTCCAAATAAGTTATGGAAAACACACTTTTACTGAAGAAGATAAGTTTCTTTGTCAGAGTATAAAAATTACCCCCAAGGTCCCAGCTCCAGGGGAACAGTCAGATTATATTTGCATTTCTGATATTTACCACAAAATAGATTTTATTTTTCTTTTGGGACTAGAATATACACTCTGTGTTTTGGTGCACAAACGCTCAATCATCTGATCTTTTTAGAAATATGAAGTAGGTTTTGTGGTGTTTCAGGTGTTAGTGATTGTCACTCTAATATCTCTATGATTTACTTTGGCCAGGTTACGGAGGTTTTTGTGGACGGCCACTCAAACCAACATTTACATATTGTTGGGTTGAAGCTGACTCCAATTCTGGAACATATCAAGAGACCAGATTTCCAACAAGGACCATTGCATTATTCCACCTTCACCCCATATTGATTCTTGAATTTGGTGGCTCACATTGCTTCATTATAGGGCAACAATTCTCTAATATTTTTTTTTGTTTCAATCTAACTTTGTTAAATGTTCAACCCATACTTATGGCAATTTTAAAACACCCTTGGCAATTTTGTGACTTGTATTTGCCATTACAACATTTTATTTTTGTACAGAGAAGTCAATAGCTAGACTAATGGTAGATTTTGTGATCAGAATACAGGGATCACATTTTAGCACATGTTGCTAATGTTTTTGTCAATGTCTTTGACAGTATAATGTTACCTCAGTAATATAGCAAGCAAATGCTTCCTTTCGTTCTTTTTGTTTTTGTAATCGTTTCTTAATACTTGCAACAATTTGAACTTTGAATTATTTACAATGAATACTTTGACTATCTTTGGTGGTTTGTTCAGAGCACGTATTCAATGTATCAACATATATACACAATAATAGCTTTGACCATCATTGGAGAGCATATTTTTAATGTATCAACAGGTTATAATTTTTGCAATGGAGATTTTCTATGAGGCTATTGCAATCGGACAAGTTTTGCATAATGCAACAAACGCAGTAATTTGTTGCAATAAAATTTACATATGATTGTAGTATATGTGCACGCGCCTTACTGGGAGCACGGTTCTTGGTATGCTCGGGTGTAAGAAATAATTTGTAGTATGAATGTAGGTTATAAGACGTAAGCAGGGGAATATCTCCGATTTTGGTTTACGTCTTGCAACTAAGCAGGTACATCTGTTCCTCTACTAATTGCTTGTTTGCAACTTCTACAATCTGATGAAATGATGTAACAAATCGGTTGAGCTTTTAATCAAGAACTTAACATATAACAACCTATTTAATTTCAATATTTTCACCTCAAAACCCAATCTCTGATACAGTTTCCGAGCTGGTGTGTTCTTTTTATGAACGTGAACAAATATCATTTCTGCACCTGTTACAAGTCGAAAATCAACATTCAACAAAGACCATTAGAAATCAAATTTCGTAAAACTAATCTTCAAGTTTGTAAATACTAACTAATTATCTAGATTGCTTTGTTCTTTTCTTATTAAAATCTTCAATATTTATCATGTGTTACCCTTTGATTTTGCAGATTCTATTGCAAACTTCAACATGTTGAGGGCAATGCCCTTGCGCCGAGCTGATTTTGCAACGCATAGGTTTGCAACATAACCGTATCTGCTTGCTTCCTTCCTCTCAATGCTGCAGAATAAAGGTGCCTGAACTCTTTCCTAGAATATAACTTCTTGTTTCTCAGAAAATTTCGTACGATTAACTTCTGGATTAATATAAGAGTTTAAGGCTAATTTTTGTTACCCCAGGAAATGATTCTCCTTGTAGCAAGTATCGAATACTCAAATCCAAAGTTCCTACCACACTTTTGAGTATGGTATGTTTAACGTTATTAGCTTCCTTCTTTACCTGCATTGCAATAGGACAGCTTCTTAATTAATATCGATTTTACATGAAATAACAAAAGGTTATACAGAGTATTATGTGGTACATATGGTAAGTACGTTGTCAATTGTGAGATTATAATTGAATTATTATGACATAAGATAATAGAAGAATCATATTATCGATGTATAATTTCAATCTTTCATTGTATGGAGTATATACCGCGATAATGCATGAAGACTGTTGGCCTTGGTATCCTCTGCATCTTCTTTTCAAAGCATTGTATTCCTAGTTAAAATGAATACAAGAAGCATTAGTATTAGGACTATTGTGATACATTTTGTTGTAAGTGGTATCATTCATTGATTTAAACATATACCTGGTCTGCGAATTTCCTTTTGTAGCTCTCAGCATATCTGATTATTGAAGACAATAATGTTAGTATTTGTCATTAGTTACATGGCTAAATAACCGTGTTTAGTTTCAACTTTTATATGTTATCTCATAATTGATCACAACATAAGAAAGTTAGGTTAAAGTCTATCCATTAATCCTTATATGTTTAATATACATATTCGAAGGTATATGTTGGTGGCATTTTTTAGAATTTCATTTTCGAGAATCTAATATCCTAAGGTCATATTCGGCAAAATTAGATGTGTCTGTTAGCTTTTAATTTTTGAGTAGCTATCAGCAATTGAAGATTACGATGTCTCACTAGCATATCACAATTATAAACTGAAATTCTCTTAATCTCGGTTCTATTTATACACCTAATAACTTAATCAAATATTTAACTTGCATATATATTAACATAAAGTATTATGCAAAATAAATTTGGATTTTATTAAGGTTTAATTTTTCTTATATATATTCCACCTAACTACAGTTAAACGTACCTTTCATTTGGTCGATCCTCCCAGTGACTTTCGGCACGAAGCCAGGCTGCAGTCTACCACAAATACAATTGGACAACCGAATTTATATAAATTCCAAAATATCTCATGTAATAATCATGCCCTACATTATTAATTCTTATATAATGTAAGTAATTAACATACCCAATATTCTTCATTAAGCTCTGCTTCTCTAGCCACAAACACCCCAAAACTTCTGCTTTCTTGGTTAATCTCTGTTTCTAATTGCTGCATTTTCGTAAACTGAAGGTCTGATCTCTCTATCCTTGTATCGAAACAAGGCGATTGTGTTCGCCTTGTTACACCTTCTTCTTCTACTCCTAGAGAGGGTGTTGCCTGCATTTCCCTGATGATAAAACCATGATTCATCTTACATTTTTACATGTCACACTTAATGATGTATGATATATATTTTCTATTATTAATATATGGTCTTTGACCTTGAAAATACAAGTACGAGTTTTATTATGGGATAGAGGGAATATATAATATAAGCATCAGCCATCAGGGGCTTGATTTTCATTCGAGTTCATTATAAGAAAGACTAAAGGATGATGTATGACTTACATTCTACAGATCATGTCGGGCCGGGTTCTTCCACGGCATGGTTCGGTACATGTTGAATAATACGTGCAGAAGGCAGGTTGAGAGGATAAAGCAAGCTTTGAAAACATGTTGTACAAAGTTTTATGAATAAAATGAAACTTTAAGCTAAAAAACTGGATTGAAAGAATGAAATGTTTTTAGTGGATTAGATGCATATTGCATACATATTAAACTGCAGGAAAAATGCCAAAAAGAAGTAATGTGATGGAGGAAGAAATGGCAACGTTTTGAACTACAAGCCAGTCAAGTTTAAGGGGAGTTTTGTGGGACCCAAAAATGAGATTTATATTGAGATTTTAATAGAAATGACCATAAGTTTTAGCTGGATTTGTAAATGGATTTTGTATGGGCATGTGGATTGAATGGTGGCGCAGTTAATACTTTCCCATCAATTGAAGAGAGAGAAATTATTGTCTTAATCTCATCTCCACTTGATTCAATTGAAGTGGAAGTTTCATGTGATCCTCTTTGGTTGTGGCATTTATTTTGTGTTTTTTTATTTTATTTTTAATTCAATGATTATGGTTGATGATATGGTTTAAGGTCTTAAGGATGGTTTTTTGGAAGTTTGTTAGGTGTGACTTTATGAGGTTTTATGGTGTAAAGCGTTTAGAATTTATAGACATTTGATATTCGAGATAGAGATAAAAGGAAGGGATAGAAATACAGAAATGAAAAGAGATAATCATATAATAAATTGTTTGTGTTGTTTAGTATGAGTTGGGGATAAGATTGAGATAAGTGGTAAAGTTATATGAATTTACCATGCCTTCCTATTATATTAAGGGCAATTTTATTTTTTAAACTTACTTATCCCTTAATATACCATCTCCCTACTCTTTCCTAGGTACTAAATTATAGGGGACTAGGGGCAAATAGGTTGTGTTTTATTCCTATCTTTATCTCATTTTAAATCTCTATTGTTTCTAAAAAAACACTGAATTTCATCAATCTACCCCTTTATATCTTTCTCTTCCTTTTAACTCCACTAAACAAGCACCCTCTTATTGATTATTGACGGGTATGTGACGAAGTTTAGATCATCAAGTAAGGCGTTTTATGACATGTGAGCATAACGGGGTTCGCTGATGTGTTGCATCTCACCACGGTGCTTTAGAGATACAACTTTATGCGTGCACAAGATACGCAATTGAAAATTATAAGAGGGTGTGATGATGATACATGATTATTGTCTTGTACTTGAATGATTTATACCTATATTGAAATTGTGCTATAAACTTCCTCAAGAAAAGACATTGAGAGGGGATTGACTAAGTGAGTTTCATAATGTTGACCCAAAACTAAGAAAGACATAATTATAATTAGTACATTGTTTCTAACCTAAAAACTAATTGCTAAAAATCTGAAACATAAGTTGATTTTTTCAGGTAGCAGCCATTGCCCACGGTATCTTATTCCTTTACAATTTGCTAATTATTTTATACAAAGTAGTACGTATTAATCATTAATGTGATTGCTTTCACTGATATGCAACAATTATTGACTTCTTGACCTTTGACGCTCTCTTACTCCTATTTTTGTTCACGCTGCCAATGAGCTAGTCCATTTTCTCTATATATGTCCCTTATTGGGCATGGGCTTGGAATGCCAATAATATATAATTTACAAAAGCATGTGACAAATAGGTCGTTTGAATTGGATTTTATTAGGCCGAGTCATATTCGAGTATATTGTAACTTACTCGAACAATTGTAATGCTTCTAACTTTCATATTAAGTAATTTTCTTTAACACATATTAAGTTAATTGTAATAATCCAAGTTGAAACTGAAATTTTGAATCTTTCACATTTGTCTCTTATTCTTTTTCAGGCATACTATATTATTTCTTACCATATTCTTATGGGGGATTTAATTTTTTTTATTAAAAAAAAGTTATGTTTCTGATTGTAGTGTAGGGTGTTCAAATTGTTTGCAGAAATAATATCACATATTTAATCAAAATGGAATGTCTAATTTAATACTATATTCAGCAAGGACTGCATATTAAAATGGCTTAGAATGACAGAAGAATATCTACAATTGAGTAGGCTACTAGGCTTGTATTTATAAAGAAAAAAAAAATGGGTGGTCTAGTAAGATTCAATCGATTTGATTACGTTTCAAATTAATTGACACGTTTTGACTTTTGATAATATTCATAAACTTTATTTTAACTAATGTTCGTGAATTATATATATTAAAAAATATAGTTTTCTTGTTAAATCCGTTTCAATATGCACTTAATATTTTTTTTTTTTTTTTTTTTTTTTTGTGTGGAAACAATATGTACTTCAATTAAAATTTCAATTTTAACATTGTTTACAATTTTTTTATTTATTTTTTATAACGGTCCAAAAAAGAGTCTAGCTCCCAATTGACTCGATATTACAATGAGACAACTTGACTCTCTAAACCATACTAATACAAGTGCTAAAAAGGGGATTGGGGTACAAACATTGTGGATTGCTTGTAAATACAAATAAGGGGGTTGAGGGGATTCATCACTAGTACTAGCCATAAGATGTTCCACACTTGATCCCTTGCGTTTTTTGATCCTGCAAAAACAAACTCTGTAATACCTTTTACCTTTCTTGTTCTTCACCCTTGACCTGATTGGTCGTCCATGCTTCCTTGACAAGGCAGAGAACTTGAAGGTAGAGAGTGCAAAGGACTGCACCTGGCAAAATTCTTGGGGTCTTCTTCATTAGAGCTTACGGATTCCAATTCAGCGATGTCAGCGGAAGTTAAAACTCTCGCAGGCTTCTCACTCCCCACCTCGATACTTGAACCCTTATTGCTGCTAGAAGTAAGGCAAGTAGATATATGATCATCTAATTCTCAACGGCGGCGGTGCTGGACTTGGTAAGCCCAACAACATCGTTGACCACGGCGGCATCCATAAATCGCATAGCCTTTTCCTTTTGGCACTTCCTGACGTGATTCTTCTTTTTCGGACCCACCATCTTAGTGGGCATGAACAAAGTAACATGACCTTTGGATTCCTTTGCCTTGTGAGCTTCCAGATGCCCATCATGAGTGGTCTTTTCTTTCACTCGTACAGTCATCCATGAAATAGCAAAACCTTTGAGGAAAATCAAGGTTTTCCTTTGATTGAGATCCGAGTAAGACAAAGCGAAAATCTTAAGGGACTGATTAACTCTTAAACTGTTGAAGAAGATATGGGTTCTCACTGATCCTTATCCTTAGCCTGTCTAGAATCCTGAAAGTTAGGGGGGCTAGTGGCATCATAATCCCCCTTAAGGCTTTCTACCATCATCTCACTAGTAGCATCCATGGTGGTTAAGTTTGTAACACCACTCTCAACATCGCTACTAGGCAACTTGTTAGATTCTAGATTGACAGAAGGCTTTCTAATCTTTCCTTTTTTGTTGAAAAGGGCGTGGGACTGGCTGGAATCCTTAGTCCCTCTTGCCCTTGAGCTTGCTAGCTCTGCTTCTTAGACCCTCCATTGTTTCCATCTCACGAGGATGTCTTGGTTGTTAGGCTCAGCCTTGGCTGCTTATTAACCAAGGTCTTCATTGAGCTTGATCTCGGCTAAAGCTCTTCTGTAAAAGGCTTTAGTGTTGTTTCCATCAAGCATAATGACAAACGAGCAAAGCTCCTTAGTTTGTTCATAATCAGGAACCTTTAGGGCGGAAGCTGTAAGGTTTAATTCAAGGGATATGGCAAGGTTCCATAGAAGAACACAGTCATCTTCATTTCACGGCAGTACAAAACACAATAATTTCAACCCTTCTTGAAAAGGATATTACTCCCTTCCTTCACGACCTTAGCTTGATTTAGGATATTTCGGGGGCAATTGTTAGTAGCAAAGTTGAAAATTCTTTCATCATAATCGTCGTTCAAGCGTGTGTGCGTGAGGGCACTACTCAATGTTTGGCAATCCATAACAAACTTCTAAAGAGAAAAGGAAAGGACTAAGAACTTCACTAAAAGGAAGTCACGAACAGCACCAAGAAGTAAACGGACAAAAAAGAACAGAATTGAGGGAAAAACCCAATTAAAAGAACATAACTATAAGCTGAAACAAAGGAGCCGCTATCGGTCGGAGATTTGAGCCCAACCCGCAGCAAGAGACGAGGGGTGGGGGGTCAATCGCAAAAACAGGTGCTATCAGAGCACCACCACCAAAGCCATTAAATTGGCTACAGAACCACCTTGGATCCCCACTCAGAAGACCGACAGGTCACAAGAAAAGGCAGCTGGGGAAAAACCGCGGCGGGACAGCCGACCGACGATCGAGTCACCGTCACAAATATTGTGCTACCTCGAACAACAAGGATGAGTGATTCAGCGTCTAAAACCCGGGGGTCTCCCGCGAGTTGATCGGAAAAGGTAGAAGAAGGTCCCGCCGGCGAACGAAAGGTAAAGTTGCCTGCTCCGATCGACGGCGGTCCACCTGAGGACGCAAGACGAGGAATTGGTTTTGTTAAAACTAGGGGCCTTTCATGATTCATAAGGGGTTGGTCAATGATACTCGAGCATGTACTTGTTTTGAGTGCTTTTTTATTTTCTGTCGGGATTTATGGATTAGTCATGAGCCGCAATTTGGTTCGAGCTCTTATGTGTCTTGAACTTATATTGAATGCAGTTAATCTAAATTTTGTAACATTTTCTGATTTTTTTGATAATCGCCAATTAAAAGGAAGCATTTTCTCAATTTTTGTTATAGCCATTGCAGTCGCTGAAGCAGCTATTGGACCGGCTATTGTTTCTTCAATTTATCGTAACAGAAAATCAACTCGAATCAAACAATCAAATTTATTAAATAAATAGTATTTCTTTTTTTTAATTTTATTAGAAATTTCACAAATTCGATTTTAGAAATTAAAATTTGAATATTTAGCAATTCAAATTAGATTACTAGATCTTGCACCTTAAGATATATATACTTTCATAAAGTGTAATAAATCAAAGTATTTTTTGGATCTCTTTTCCATTTTCTATCCAAAAATAGGTTGATTTCAAAAATTCTAGGAAATTATTGATTCGTCTAGTATTTGAATATGTATTTCATTTATTTTACTAGAACTAGATCGACAATTAATCAAGTGAAAAAAATTCTAGACCCAATGTCGCAGTCAGTTAAAATTTATGATACATGTATAGGGTGTACTCAATGTGTCCGAGCTTGTCCCATGGATGTATTAGAAATGATACCTTGGGATGGATGTAAAGCGAAACAAATAGCTTCTGCTCCAAGAACGGAAGATTGTGTCGGTTGTAAGAGATGTGAATCCGCTTGTCCAACGAATTTTTTAAGCGTTTGAGTTTATCTATGGCATGAAACCACTCGCAGTATGGGTCAGGTTATTGATATAGTCAGAAAATTCCATTTGAATCCATTCATTCTATTTGGATTTTTTTTACCGACAAAAATCCGTACCATGACGAAATTTATTTCTTTTGGGGCACGGGTTTTTTGTTCAAGTATATCTTGTCTTTACCACGAATTATTTTCCCTGGTTAACAACAATTGTAATTTTGCCCATATTTGCAGGTTCTTTAATTTCCGTATTTCCTCAGAGAGGGAATAAGATTATAAGGTGGTATACTATATGCATTTCGGTTTTGGAGCTCCTTCTAATAACTTATGCATTTTGTTATCATTTCCCACCAGATGACCATTAATCCAACTGGCCGAAGATTATAAATGGATCAACTTTTTTGATTTCCATTGGCGATTAGGAATCGATGGACTTTCGATAGGACCTGTTTTACTAACAGGATTCATTACGACTTTAGCTACTCTAGCCGCTTGGCCAGTTACTCGAGATTCTTGATTATTCCATTTCTTGATGTTAGCAATGTACAATGGTCAAATAGGATTATTTTCGTCCCGAGATCTTTTACTTTTTTTCATAATGTGGGAATTAGAATTAATTCCTGTTTATCTACTTTTATCCATGTGGGGGGAAAAGAAACGTCTCTACTCCGCTACGAAATTTATTTTGTATACTGCGTGGGGTTCTATTTTTCTATTAATGGGAGTTCTGGGTGTTGGTTTATATGGTTCCAATGAACCAACATTAAATTTGGAAACATTAGTTAATTAATCGTATCATGTGTCATTAGAAATAATATTCTATATTGGATTTTTTTTATTGCGTTTGCTGTCAAATTACCGATTATACCTTTACATACATGGTTACTAGATACCCACGGAGAAGCACATTATAGTACTTGTATGCTTCTAGCCGGAATCTTATTAAAAATGGGGGTGTATGGGCTAGTTTGGATCAATATGGAATTATTACCTCACGCTCATTCTATATTTTCTCCTTCGTTGATGATAATAGGCACAATACAAATAATCTATGCAACTTCAACATCTCTTGGGCAACGTAATTTTAAAAAAAAAAGAATAGCCTATTCTTCCGTATCTCACATGGGTTTCATAATTATAGGAATTAGTTCTATAACCGATACCGGCCTTAATGGGACCATTTTACAAATAATTTCGCATGGATTTATTAGTGCTGCGCTTTTTTTCTTAGCACGAACTAGTTACGATAGAATACGCCTTGTTTTTCTCGATGAAATGGGTGGAATAGCAATTCCAATGCCAAAAATATTCACACTCTTCAGTAGCTTTTCAATGGCATCTATTGTATTACCCGACATGAGTGGTTTCATTGCGGAATTAATAGTATTTTTTGGACTAATTACCAACCAAAAATATCTTTTAATACCAAAAATACTAATTACTTTTGGAATGGCAATTGGAATCCTATTAACTCCTATTTATTCATTATCTATGTCACGTCAAATTTTCTATGGTTATAAATTATTTAACATTTCCAACTCTTTTCTTTTTTTTTTTTAATTTTGGGCCGCGAGAGTTGTTTGTTTCAACTGCTATCTTTTTACCAGTAATAGGTATTGGGATTTACCCGGATTTCGTTCTCTCGCTATCAGTTGAAAAAGTAAAAGCTATTTTATCCAATTATTTTTATAGATAGATTTCCTTTCATTTAATGAAATGAAAAAAACAATCTTCTTTACATAAGACGAAGCAAGACAAAATTGGAATTCTAATCAGTCATTTTTTATGTTTGTGAGAACCATTTAAATCATAATTTAAATGGTTCTCACCTGTTTCTAAGAAACTTGCTTATGACTTGTACTATAATATGTATTCATAAGGCCATAACTATGTAGCCCTATTCCTAATAGATTAACCCCAAAATAGCATATCCAAATTATAAGAAAGCCTATAAAAGCCACAATTGCAGAATTTGCACCTCGAAAATTTTTATTTGTTCGAATATGTAAATAAATTGCAAATATGGTCCAAGTAATAAATGCCCAAGTTTTCTTTGGGTCCCAATTCCATATGATCCCCATGCCTCATTGGCCCATACTGCTCCTGAAAGAATACCTATGGTTAAAAAGATAAATCCTAGACGAATAGTCTGGTTTTGGGGTTTTGATTTCTCGCGCGTGGAGCGCGTTCACCTCTGTCTTTATATAATACACTACAATATGTTTTTTTTTTATAATTATTATTATAAATTAGGTAGTTAATAATCTTAGGTCTGTCAATACTATTACTATTTATTTGTTGCACTCAAGATTTATTTGGTAGTTAAAGTTTCTATCTTCGTCTTAATGCCTACTGTTTTGCATTTTTTTTTTTTTACAATAATATAGTTAAAGATAGGGTATAATTTCAATTGAATTTATACATTGACAAATGAATAAAAGAATTTATACATTGACAAATGGATAAAAGAAACATTTCAACTAATTTGAAATGAAGGAATTATATGCCGATTAGATTAAAAAAATAAAAAAGAAACATATTAATCGACTATGCTGACTTGCAACTATGGTCTACTTGACAAAGCATTGTTACCTTGGAAGGTATAATATGTCAATCTACTCAAAGAGAGAATAGAACATTTTGTTTTAGAGCTGACTAGAGATTACTAGTAGTAATACATAATTCAAACCGGAATTAAAGTGCAAATAAAATAACTAATTACACAACATAAACCTTAAACAAACCATCTTATCCTTCAAAATCATTTTTAACCCATTTCTCACCAAATTTACTCTTCACCTTCTCATCGAACTCCTTAGCCTTGTCCTCGGATACCTTAGCCGCCCCATTTGCCACCGATTCCTCATCGATTCCGGCTATCCTCCTACTCCGCTTCCTCGAAATCTTCTCCCTCTCCTCCTCCAACCCTTGATACTCCCTCACCCAACACCTATGAATAAGACAACTCACCACCAAAACCACAACTTGCAACACAAACATAACCATCAAAATCCCACATTCCAACCTCACCAACACCTTCGCCTCTTTAGGATCCCTTGGTGAATTGAGGATCGATAGGCTCATTTTCTCCTTCAAAAACAAGGCCATGAAGCTAAGCACTTGGCTAGCAAGCGAGGCGAGTAGGAAGGAAATGTATGTCACAAAACACAAGTGAGTAAGGCGAGAGTAAAACCCGATAAAAGAGGATAAAAGAGAAATAGAAGAAGATATAATAATAGCATAGCCTAAGGAAGAAGGGGGTGTTTTAAGGAGAAGTATAGGAGCAAGTGAAGCAGTAGAAAGTATGAATAAGATCAAGTTTAAGCATGAAAGTAAAAGATTTGGAAAAGAAAATGAATTTCTTAGCTTAGAACTTGATGCTGCCATTTTTTCTTGTAAATTTTTTGGCGAGAAATTAAATGGTTTAAGTTGATAATGAATGTCGTAAATTTTGAATTGTTTTTATAAGAATTTGGGGAAATTTTTATTTGCCGTTGAAGATGTAACGGATATGTATTTTAGGGACCCATGCATGTAATGTAATGTTATGGACTTTGTGTAACGTTCATTACCTCCTTTTTGGTTCAAAGTTTGAAATGTCATTAGGAATTTTAAACTGTTTGAGACAGCAATATTATTAGAATTTTCAATTTAGATGTGTCATGTGTGTATACGTGGCTTTTTATAAGGAATTTTGGTTCACGGATTATAATTTATAAATCAAGAGTCGTACGATGTTCAAATTTAACCATTCTAATTCTAAATTCAAGTACTTGAAATTTAAAATTCAATCCAATCCAAACTGAATTACTCCGTATCAAATTCATATTGAATTAAATTTCATTATTGGATTTTCGGAACAATCAGATTGAAAGAATTTGGATCCATAATAACCGAACAAACTGAATATTAATGGGGCTTGGACCTAGTTTGTAAAGCCAAATTGAGATTACGGGCTTACTAAAGAGGACGGAGAAGCTTCAAGATTAACAAAAAAATCTCATGGACAATGAAAGTTTTCATCATTCTGATGAAAGCTACAAAACCGTGCCTAGGAAGTGCAAGTAACATCTAACATAATAACATGTAAAAATAGAGAGAATAACTCCCAGAAAATACAAGAGAGGAAAGTTCGAGGCAAGAATATAGGACATTGACAGCAGATAAACATTCACATGCCATTCAGTCAGGCGATTCAGCTGTACAACTAACGATTGGCCACACGACTAATAGAGATAGATTAAGACAAGTTGACCATCATATATTCTTTTACAACATCGACATGTTCTGCTTATCCAGTACTTCCACAGTTTTTGCTTAATTCAGGAAATTAAGAATGCAAAATTGATGGCTTATATTGATTCTTGCAAAGTAAGCACAAAGTGGCCGAGTGTTGAAAATTCTCTAAAGTGAAGACAGTATCATCTAGACATCTACTGCGAGACTAGTTTATATAGTGAATGTGAAGCCTATGGTATGGCCATATACTGTGACGGAGCTGTCTGAACTTGGAACAAATTGTCAAGAACATGAACCAGCTTAAATTATAGGTCAAATTAATACTTCTATATGCTTATTTCTCAACAAATAAAAAACAGACTTAATCTGAAGAAAAACAGGGGGGAAAGTGAAGGATGAAAACAAAGATATACAAGAGCAACTGTAAAGTCTGTAACTATGAATACAAGACATAGAAGGATTTTCATACTGCCCTGACATTTCCCTCAGGGATATTGTTCATTTCCGTGTGTGAAGATAGCCTCAACTCTGTCAAGTGATGCTTCCAGGCGTCCTGAGTTCATGTTGAATAACGGTTCTCCTGTGCCTAGAGCACTATGAAAACACACCAAAGGAATTATTAATACAAGACCGAAAGTAACAAGTCTAACAACAGTGCAGACAAACCACCACAATAATGCATTCAATAATGGTATAATGCAGAATATTGTACTCACCCGGTAATTTCTGGAAGAACATAATCAGCCCTCCAGCCAAACCGGAAATCCACACCCTCACACAATCCAAGTGATGTCTTATTCCGAATCCGAGATATATTATCTCCTCCCAAACATGAAGTAAGCTTCCATTTCCACCCGATAGCACCTAATGAAAAGTTATGACCAATGCCTACCTGCACAATTCAGAAACTTAATTTCCTACTCCGTACAGGTGTACACTATATCAATTCATGAAATCAGATAATGAAAAGACATGCAACTGTCTTATGATGGCAGTAGACTTTAATGCTCACATGACTCACAACTCACAACATAAAACTAATGATGCTTAAGGTCTAACAAAGCTGAAGTATGCTGAGAGGAAGGAAATTAAACCTGCAAATTACTGATGCTTAAGGTCTAATAAAAGATAAGGATCTGCTGAGCAAAAGTAAAACATGAAGATTTATGATGCTTAAGATTTAACAAAATTATTCTCAGAAGAAAAAAAAATTAAACCTGAAGATTAAGGAATTTTGTTATGGGAATCTTCTTAGAAAGAACGCGCACATCTTGATGTATGGGCTCATATATGAACTTCCATCTTCTCTCATTAGACAAAGGCTTTAGTACAAGCTTTGTCTGGAAATCATTGATTGGTGAATTATAAAACTGCATCAAAATATCAGTGCATTAGCCACGTGCTCTTTCGGATGAGTTACAATTCTATTCCCCCTCCTTACCAGAAAATAGCATAGAAAGGAGAAAACTTTCTAGAACTTCCACTGCCCACAAAGAACAATTTCGATTGTATTTCTATCCATAATCCTGGCATCCATCAAACTCTAATTTACAAAAATTGACCATCAAGTTGGTAAATTCCGATCTACTAACTCAGCTGCCATGCCTGGTTCCACAGATACACTTCCCAAGAGAAGCATAAACTAGTACTCCATTTCATGCAGGAAACACACACTAAGCAAAATTCTGATTGTTGTTCTGTATCAACTAGTAAATGTGGTAACCCTACGTCCTAAGACCTGGTGAAATCCTACTTAATACTAGTACAATGGTATATTATATGGTCTCAACTTGCATACATTTCCAAAATGATACTTGCAGCATCAAAAGTCCAGAAACAACCTCGTATAAAATGTCAAGTCAAGAACAATCCACTAATAGTAAAAAGCTATTATTTCAAGAACTGAAGAACAACCATCCCCATAATTGGTATGAAGAAATTTTGGGATTTGAAATGGTATCACAAAAGAGCTTGTTATAGGTTGCCTAGTTCAAGGGGTATGGTGATAGTTTTCCTTACTTTAGTTGAGGCCATGGGGGTATCTGATTAATTTGATTTCACCCACTTGTAACCCTCCCTTACTTAAAAGGTCATGTTCTATTGACTTGATTTTCACTTTATTAGAAACAATAAGTTTAGATAAGATAAGTTAGGAAAGATAAGTTCACATAAGAAAAGTTTAGTAATATAAGTAAAGATAAAATTTAATAAGGGTTACATTAATTAATTTACAATGAACTAAAATAAGTTTAAATAAGTGAAATGTAGGTGAATAGAACGCACCCATATGACCATACCATGTCTCTTCCTCTTCCTCTCACAATTGATTCCATTCCAATCCATTGTATTAACATCCAATCTATAAAAAAATAATGGTTGTCATTACTCTTTCCATCTCTCATTCAATTCCAATATTCTATTCCATTCTGTTTACTCCAACCATAGCCTAAATTACTTCGATTATGTGACTCGGGGTGGTCTTGAACTGGTTGAGACTACTAGAGTGATACTCCGAAAATTCACAACGAGCAAAATTCAAATAATCCAGCCTTGAAGAATAAAATTCCCAAAGAAACAACTAATCAACAATCTAAAAATACATTATAGTATTACACATCCCAATGCCTATCAAAGAACATTGCATAATTCAACCTCATACTGTCATACAATGAGTCAATGACACCCACAACCACAAAATCCATGTCAATCCAAACCAAACACATCAATTTCAATTACCATTTCATTCATAACAATCAGCATCTTTATAAATTTATAAATTAGACGCAACAATTATATCACCGAGAAAATTAAAAAGTATTAAACTTTAAATTTGAAACCATGTATAATTTAAACATATAAAATTAGGTGAATCTTATAAACCCCTTACAAAAAAAAAGTAAAAATACCTCTAAATTAACACCAAGTCTAAACCCTTCATATTCTTTGCGGAATTTGACAAATAATTCTGAGGGAATCAAGTTTATGTTGTAAAGTTCATCCCATGAAGCTGGTTCCTCGACATTTGCAACACCCGGATTTGTATCCATTTTCAAACGAATTATCCTGAATTCATGAGCATAATGTAATAGAAACCAACCATTTTGAATTGTAAAGAAAAATTGAAGAAAACAAAATGTAAAATTGTTCACCTTTTAGTCACCAATTTGAAGTAGGAAGTAGTAGAGTGTTCGATGGGAAACTAAAACTCCATTAACTCAAAGGAAGCATATCTTGTTGTTGTTGCAGTCGGTTGTGTGAAAGAACCGACTCGATAAATTGGCCGAGGGGTGGGCACTCAGAGTCGAGCCCTGGGACTCTCTACTATCTAGGATATGTTCTTTGTTTGAAAATAGAGATAGATCATTTGGGCGAGCCTGGCCTAAGGCTTGAAATAGCCCGTCTAGTCGGGCTGGGTCGGGTTGAGGTTTGGGGTGAAAATACTATTAGTAACCTAAATTCCTAAACTTTGGTCGGGCCTAGCGAGCATGCCAGACAAAAAAAAACAACTAAAAATGTGTAATGTTCTTGTCCAAGGTCCGCCCTAAAAAATAATAATTTCGAGTGGGGAGTCGGGCCCAATTTTACGTCCATGGCCCGCTCAAAATCGGGTCGGATCCATGTTGATCAGGTCTATTTTAAAAGCAAGCGTTAGTTTTTTTGGTGTAAAAATAAAACCACGCTGCCCTCAGAGCCAAGCGACTAGTGAGTTTTGACGAGATATGAATTAAGGTGCGTTATAGTTATTTGATTTATTGAACTTTTAGCGATTGTTTGGCTGCATTGGGAATTAAATTCCCATGGTAATTTACATTTCATAGGAAATAAACCTTCATGTATTTCCTATAAATTTGCCAAACTTGTTTGATTGACATGAGGGAATTTGCTGGGAAATTTGCATTACATGTGAATTGTTAATGCCTTAGGGGAGGTTAGGTAATTAACTTCCCATAATGTAGGAACTCAAAATTCCTAGGAAATTACAATTCCCCCATTTACAGATTTCATGTTAACCAAACAACAAGGGATCTAAGCATTTCCTAGGAATTTCTATTGCTTATGTTAAAGCGTTAAACAAATGCAACCAAACAAGCTCATTAAATTCTTCTTAAACTTACCTTATCTAAACTAATAAGCAGTATTAGAATTTATTGGACTTATTTTTTCTAAGATAAGTGAAGATAATCATCTAGGTTATGATGGTAAGGGTCATTACCAAATTAATTGTTACAAATGTGGGGAAGTTGGACATAAGTCTTATGAGTGTCCAAGAAAGCAAAGCTATAGAGAAAGGGGAAGAAAAGGATGGGAAGTGGGGAAGAGGAGAGAAATGAAGGATTTTCCTTCAAAATTTCCTTCCAAATCTTTTCATTTTTAGAGAAATTAATTTCTTACAATTTAAGCATTTCATTTCTCTCCCCTTGTATTCCTTCCCTTAATCAATTGTTATACAAAGAAAGATACACCATCTCTCCATTTCCCTTCCCTTCCTTTCCCTCTACTTCCTTTAATCCAACACACACACGATTAAAGAAAAATAAAGACTTTGAAGAGGCAATTGGCAAAAACAAACCAACACTATCACATATGATACAATATTTGTCCATATGAAGTACTAACATTTTTTTTTTTTTGAACTAAATCAATTCATTAATAAAAAGTCAAACGGCATCTACAAAAGAGATCTAAATTAACAAATACATATAAATGAATCAATTAAGGGTTTCCTTCATCAAAGCTACGATTGTTAAGTAGATTTTGCACTGTGGTACATCCCTCGCACACATCGCTGGAATATTGTTGAGGCAAATATTGTTCTTTGCCAACAAGTTAAATACTCTATCTTGTTTTATAGTATTAGGGGGTCCCCATTGAGTTACCGGTTTCAAAGATTGATAACATTGCTAATGTAACAACCCAACAATAAGGAAGCTTTCCCAAAGAAAGTAAAATAAATTAGATTGCTTAAAGAAACGAGTAGATCAAATAAACATATGACAAAAGATACAAATGCATTCCATTAATTAAAGGATAAAGTCAGGTCTACAATTGTATTAGTCGAAGGAGAGGTTACCTCCATGATCATACAATTGGAAAAGACGAACGATCTTCAATACATGCTAAGAGAAAACTAAACTATCGCTTGGTTACTAAGCCAAGGGAAACCACGAAAGCTAAGAAGAAAGCTTAAAAGAAATAAAATGCTTGTTGTTGATTGATTTGCCGATGTCATTCCTTTAATCTTCACGCCTCTATTTATAGGCAAATTGGAGCGGTTATAGCTGACTCCTATAACTGTTGTGCGGTTATGCTTCTTGGCGCCAACTCTCTTCAAAACTTAAATTACCCACTTTGCCTCAAAACCGGTTTTAATATTGGGCCTTTGGATGATATTAGCCCAATTCTCATTATATCTCTACTAGTTCAGCCCGAAAGCCTTCTATTGACTCTAAGACCCAATTCGCTTGGTCAAAGTCAAGAAAAGTCAACAAAAAGTCAAAATTTCGATTATTTGGGGTAACTAATATACAACCTTTTTGGAGAGACGGTCTAACGATTTGTTATAGCCGTGAGGATGATTTTCATCTAATACACTTGAACGTTTTTGAAAATTTGACAATCGTTGCTTTTTCGAACAAATTTTTACCAATGAATTGAAAATAGAGCAAAAGATAATTACGTTTTTGATAAATCCTAATACACAAACAAATCTTAAACAAAAACAAACAACAAAAGTAACAAAAACTAACGACTCCACCATTGGGAGACACTCCACAATAGGGAGATGGACGAACATCTACGTTATGTATGTAAATTTATTGATACCTAAATTGCAAAACCAAAGAAAAATAAGGGAAAATGGTCGAAATTAGCCTAATTTTTGAAGAAATTGGACTATATTCGACCTAAACGACCAAACTTTTAAAAAAAACCCTAGAAGAGAGGAGAAAACACTTTTTATTTAAACCACTTAACTAAAGCATTTATCTAGAAGTACTAACATATTTTGTTCTATTTATTTTTGTCCATTAGCTACAAGAGCTAATTTTCAATCACAGACTCATAATAATTGACATCCATATTCAATTGTGTTTTTTTTTTATTAGAATTACCTATTAAAACATTTTGATATAACTACCTTAAAAAATAAATTTAATTAATAAAAATAATTTCATCTATTAATCAATTAACCTATACTAAAAGCAAACCTAAAATGACACTTGTCACAATGTCATTAATTATTTTCCCGCCACTTTCATTATTTCCTTATTATATTTTATTATATTCTTATACTATTATATTATATATGTATGATTCTATTACATGATATTATCAATCATAAGATTTTATTACATAATATGCGTGATTAACTAGGATATAAATCTTCATCGATGCAATTTTTTTTTTTGAGAAAGGATTGCCGCAATATTTTGGTTAGTGTATAATGTGTTGCTTATTTCTTACTGTAATTGATTCTATTACATAATATTATCAATCATTAGATTCTATTACATATTATGCGTGATTAACTATGGATATAAATCAATAAATCTTATGATTGATGCATGATGATCTAAAATGTATCCATAAAATCAAAGAATGATAATCTAACATATACCCATAAATCTCCCGCAATACTTATTTTTTTTAATTTTTTTTTGAAGGGACCCATAATCTTAATTAAAACAATTGAGTGATTCATTATGAGCATATGCCAATAGCTAAGCTATAATATCTCAATTAGTAGATACTCCACATTATTTGGGGTAACCCTTATTTTTATTATTATCAAAGTATTATTTATAATTAAGGGGGATCAAAATGTAATCATTCCACCCTCTTCCAACCCTTCTAAGTTCTAACACGTCAATTATGCTTTTTAGGCTAATATTATTATTAAATAAACTAATATAAGGAAATATATACATAGTAAACATATCAATCATATCGTTTATTAATTATCACAAAGTAAAATAAAATTGAATAAATTTGCATAATACATTGTGTCGAACAAAGTATATTAACAAATTAGGGATGAAGGGTATATCCATCTATGTGTATGTATCATATGGGTAGTAATCTAAAATTTTTATTTTTTATAGGGTTAATATAAAACCTCATAGTCCATAAATTTTTTTCATTTTATTTTATTAATTAAGTCTTTTGCATCAATAATATTGACATCTTTGGCATGGGTATAAATTAAAGTTCTAGATATTTTGTTTTCTTTAAAAATATACTTCGTAATATTTTTTTGGTACATAATTGTTGCAATATAATTCATTAATTATAAAATTTAGTAAAACCGTGCATGGCACGAGACTTAAACTAGTTAACCTATACTAAAAGCAAATTCTTCCATGACACTTGTCATTACCTTGTAAAAATTTTCCCGCCTTTTTCACTTTTTTTTTTTTTTTTTTTTTTTTTTTTTTTTTTTTTTTTGCAAATTCTTTAAGTAAACTAATTATACATTATGATATTTTTTTTTTCCAATTTGACAATCATATTTCATATATACCCAAATAAAATATTTCTAAATATCTTTTATATACTTTATATTTTGTAATATTATTGTCAAAAATATTTAACAACCGTGCATTGCACGAGATTTTAATATAATTCAATAATAAGCGTCTAAATTCAAAAACATGATGCACATTCTTTACTAATCCTACAATCATAACCAACAAACGGGTTGGGCTAAATCCTTTGAGTGCAAAACCTCAACTCCTGTTTGAACTCAAGAACACTCTAAAACCTAATTATTTGTGGCTAGACCCTATGGTAGGGAACTATCCCTACACCCCCACAAAATGCAGCATACCACTACTCCCCACAATACACCCCACTATCCAAATTAAAAAAGTTGTCAGTAACCTCCCCTACCCCACAAAAAAAAAAAAAATCATAAACTGTCATTTCATCTCGATCTCTCTTCATTTTCTCTCTCATTTAAAGCTCTAAAACTTCAACAATGGCGGACATTAGAGACGAAATCAAACAATCGAAGCAAATTTCACCAAAAAAAAAAAACAAGCGGAAATCAAAAGAGTAAGTATTAATGTTCATGTTTATAGCAAAAAAATAAATAAAAATAAATACAAACCCTAATTTTTTGAGAATTTGTTTGTGATTGTGTTTCGGGAAACAAATTGATAGTTCAATCGTTGAAAATGGATCAATGTAAGTATTTATGTTAATTATTGATCAATTTCAAAGTGACTATTTTGAATAATTAGTAAAATCAACATCTACTTGTTTCAATTTAATTTTCAGTTCGGAGAAATCTATTTCAGAGATGAAAAACAACGATTCTTCTGAAATGTAAGTATATATTTACTCAAACTTTTTAAATTTACAAGTATT